AATTTGTCCAAGAAATGGAACTACTTGGGGAAATGACACATGCAGGGAATTTGAGAAATTAGTTGATATTGAATACTATGAATACTGGGTAGCTCTTCAAAAATGGAACTCAATTACATTTGATAATATATTCCATAAAATTATGGCCAAATTTATTTGCCAAAACTGCCTGTTCAGGGTTGTCTCAGGTACATCTTTCTTCTCTCTGGCATGGATTTCGTCACACTGATATATTGGAGCTTGTTACTCGAAATGTTTATTTGTGTGCAATCAGTGGGCAAAATTCTTAGAGATAATGAGAGGAGAACATGCGGTCCAGCTGTCATATGGAGACCTGACCAAAAACAATGTTGGTTTTTGAGAGTGGCATGATTAGCAAAGGAACAATGAACAGGTTTTCAGACTTCTGGCCAGTTCCATAATTTTGTGGTAGTACTTATCCTAAAAAATGACCTGACTTCTTGAGTCCTCATGGTGATTGGGTAAAATCTCCTCCTCCAGAACTTTCTTCCAGCTCTTCAAATATGTGAGTCTGACAGAAATGAAGCTGGCAAATTAATGCACAGAGCATCATCTCGCATATGTAACTCTGCCCAGATTATGCATATGCATATAGTTTCCTCATTAGCATTTACTGAAAGGAAAAGAGCATAAAATAATAGATGCACATTGGCAATCTGTAGAGAAATGAAAATAATGAGAGCCTCGTCGCTTTTAAATTCTTCTAAAAATATTTTTAGAAGGCAATTTCTGTTGATCTTTATTTTCACTGGTGTATGTTAAATAGCTCTCCTGGATTTGTTTTTGTTTTGCAATAGACATGACATGCATTTTCCTGAAGACTGGGAAATTAGATGCAGGCCCCACGTGCCTTTCTCCTCCTGAAATTTACATTACAAGCACTTGATTTATTGGTCTTTTAAAAGTCCAGAACACCCACAGATCTGCCAACTGACTTTTATTTATTATCAATTTTCTCTAGTGTAGACTGAAGTAACTCCATCAGTTATTCTTCACCATTACCATATTCACTATCATCTACCTATATTCTTTTTCATTATGCGAAGTATTAATGTTCCTTTCAAATCCCTTTCTGCCCACTGCTCCTCTTCATTTTATTTCCCCATCTTTGCCTTTCATTTCCTACGCTAAATTTCTACTTATCTGGTGATTGCTTTCAAATCCTTTTGTATTAACCTTAGATTTTGAACTTTGTCATAAATGCTTTATAGACCCATTTTCATTACTTAAAAAAAGGCATACTTGGGCTTCAAAAATCCATGAGATTATAGAATTTAGCCATTGGATTTTAAAGTAGACATGCATAATAAAAACATTTTAAATATACATTATTCCACACCAAATATCTATATTTTCTGGAATGAATTTTCTCATTATTAAATAAACCCTGAAAACTGAGTAAAATTTAATTGAATTCATCAGAAGAATATTCCTGAATGGCAAATACAATGTGCATCCTTTGCAAGAAAGACCTTGTACCCATTTATGAATTTATGCAACCCATGAATAATCAAAATCATGTTCATTTAAAAGGCTTATTAATCCTTTTTAAAAATGTTTTTTTTTATTTATTTCTAGGAGAGAGAGAGACAACGTGAGCAGGGGAGGGTCAGAGAGAGAGGGAGTCACAGACTGAAACAGGCTCCAGGCTCTGAGCTGGCAGTCAGCACAGAGCCCGACGCGGGGCTCGAACCCACGAACCGCGAGATCATGACCTAAGCGAAAGTCGGACGCTTAACCAACTAAACCACCCAGGCACCCCAAAGGCTTATTAATCCTGAATGAATTATTTAGATACCACCATTTTATAGACCTGAGGAGACACATTGGTTCCATAAACGAATGAAGAGGTGAAAAGGTTGATCGAGGTGTGGCAAAATGTGAAAAATATGGACACTAAAGAAAAGTATGTTTCTAAAGCCATTTTTAACAACCAGACAATCAAAATTTTGCTGGACATACCCAAATTGTGATTCCAGTGTTTCTCCTACCCAGCTGATAAGTATAATTTCAACTCATTATAAAATAATCATTGTGTGTAGCGTATTGTTTTTGTTCAATTCTAAAACCAAAATTGCCATGGATAGTCCCTATTTAAAAGTGATTGGATTTATTTTCAATTATCTCACAAATCAAAGAGTTCAAAATATAATCATAGTAATTTTATTTAGGAATGCATTTTGCTGCAAATCACAGAAAAGCCTACTATAGTGGCTTAAAAATATATTTTGATATGACAGTGGTTTTGTGGTTCAGCAATAACATAGCAGTTCATTGATATCAATAGGTATACAGGCTCTTCTGTCTTTCCAACTTTAATCTGTAGGCTTTCATCTTCACATTGTTTACCTCATGATCACAAGCTGGCTGCTGCATTACTAGGCTTCATGTGTGTATTTCAGGGTATATTTCAGGGAAATGCAAAGAGACAAGTTATTTTTATGTCTTGGTGAGATTTTGCCTTCATTTCTGGAAGGGAATATCTTCCCAGGAACTCTGACTTCATTAGCAAAACAATAAAACATGGCCAACTTAAAACCCAATCAGAGTCAGGAAATTGAATAATTTGGTGTGCTTGTCTGTTTACTAACAGCAAAGATGAGTAGGACTGGGAGTGATTTTGCAGTAATGGATCTGCACGTTTCCAGTTTGTACCTACTTCAGGATTGAAAAGAAAACCTGAGAGATTACTCAAGATATTGTTATGACAAATATATTTTTAAAACATAATAACTGAGCATAAGATATACAGGAAAAAGGGCAGTGGCCTCTGAAGCTTGAATTTGAACCTATTTTGAAAACCAAGAAATATGCTAATGGGGTTAAACTGGATGGACCACTATTTTCTACTGGACTATACACTAGAATCACTTAGGGGCTTTTCAACAGTATTAACAGTTTGTTGAATTGGAACTTCTAGGGGTAAGGCTTAAACACCTATACTTAAAATTTAGTTATTCTGAAGTTTATCGGGGGTTCAGAGAAGTGCCTCTGAATATTACTGGAGAGGATTTGAGATTTTAGAGCAAACACAAGTAGAGCAAACCATTTATAGATTCATTCATAACTTGAATAGGGAATAAAATTGGTTGGTCAAGGTAAATGTCCTTTATAGAAGACTCGTGTAAATAGGTCCTTAATGAATGAAGCTTGACTATGAATAAAAATTTGGAACTCAAACATGTCTTTAGAAATTATTTGCAAAAGTATAAAGTATATATCATTATTTATAGTTTTAATATCATTGATCGTGGAGACCCTAAAAGCCCCAAATACATCACTGTCACTTTTGAATTACATGTGTTAAAGAATTTCTATTTCAAGTCTAATTTGTTTCAAAATACTTTAGGTGTTTTGATCTGTGTAGTATTCAACCTTGATTAATGTTTTGGTATCCATGTCATACAATTAATTTGTCATACAAATAATTTGTCATAGAAATTATGACACTAAACCTGTATTCTTCATACAAACTGCAGATAACACCGGAGCTTCCTCTCTGCCATTTTTTACAAATTTATATATATAATCCAAAAGCCTTATACTTATCCCTATTGAATCTCTCCTTATTTGTTCAAGCCCATTACCTCTCCCCTTAAAATCCCTTTGAATCCTATCATTTTCATCGGAATTATTTCTGTCTTTCCTAATTTTCATTTATCTGTCATTATGATTATCAAATATTTTTAAAGATATTTCAACTGCAAGAAACACAAGTCTTTTGAGACTTAAATCTAACTAACTCCATTTTAGAAAAAAAGCCTCCATCTTGAGGGTGAACTAGGCCTGAACCCCGTCCCAGGAAAAAGCACAGGAAGTGCTTAGGCAGCCTGCCCTTAGTTACTTCCCTAGCAATAGCAGCAGCCAATCAGTTTAAAAGAGGCGCCTATGTCCCAAGACGTTCCTGTTGGCAGTTTGCAGTCAGGCCAGGTGGGCCGAGCCAATCGGGTACTGACAAGACAGCCTGTACTAAAAATCAACCTATCAGGGACTGCCACGCTGGAAAGCCCCCGAATCCCACTGTAACCGCAATAAAAAGCCCTGTGACCCTGAGTTCGGGGCTCCATACCATCACTGCTGCGCAGAAGTGTGTTGGAGTCTCTGCTCGAGCTTAAACAATGACCCTTGTGTGTTTGCGTTGGAATCGGCTCCTTAGTGGTTTTTGGCGTTTTGCGATCTGGGCATGACAGTCTAAGTCAAACTTGGAAGCAACAAAGGAGACTATTGGCTCATAACAACAACTGCAGAGGAAGAGCATGCTTGGAGTTGAATGTTTCACTGTGTTATGAAGGACTCGGACTCTCCACTCTTCGCTCAGCAATCATGTCAGCTTCTTCTAAGACTGTTCCTCCTTATAGTCATAAGATGTTTGCCAGAGCAGTTGAGACTAAATGCTCCCAAAGTCACATATAAGACAGGATATACCTTCTGTTCCAGTGATTATTTCCTTGAAATCCCCAGAAAATGTCCCATTGTACCCCCACTGTCCCACTTCCTCTCAAACCCTCAATTAGAAAAATGCCATGAACCAAAGGATGTAAACCTAGACTCCAAACCAATCATTGGCAAATGATGGCTAGGATTGATTTAACGAATCAAGTCCAACTCCTAGAAATGTAGTCATTATACAAAACCCTCAGTCTTTCGCAGTGGAATTGATTTACAGTGAATATTAGGAAGCCAATACCAGCTTCCACTATACTGGCTTATTCCATATCCAGGTCACTGATGTGACTCAGGAATTTTGTATATGCCTATCCTTCTATCTGGAACACCTTTCCTTGAGGATGTTCTGCCACACTCACTCTTGCATTGTATCTGGTTCAGTTTTAGTTATCTTTTATCTCTCATTCAAGATGCCATTTTTCTCCATAATATTTTCCCCAAGCTTCTATTACACAGACATTCTGTCATCAGTGCCCTTAGAGCATTATATAGAACCTTAATCCTGTCATATAGTATGTATGATGTAACTGAGCAGAGCAGGGCATAGAATACAGCACTCCCTATGGTTGGTGCTCTCTTTTTCCTTGGTTTTTGCTCACTAAACTATAAGTTCAAGACTATGTTTTGATGCTTATGTCATCACCAATGCGTAGCCCAAGTGCGTGTCACATGGTAGGTTGTCAATAAATACTTACTGAATTAAAATGTTGAATTAAAAAAAAATGACTTCTAAATTCTGTGGTCGTACCACTAGAAATCTTACAAGTTGACATAAATTAATAAACCAACTTTAAATATAATTTTCCAAAGCAGTGGCAACTTAACCTCACTGTACTATCATCCAATTCAAATGTCTTCAAAGGGAGATCCTGGAAGTCTAAGACTGAACTTTCACTGAAACAGGCTATCATTTGCCCACATCACACACTTAGCGACTATGAGAAAATGAAATTCATTTCTGGGACTGGTTCTTTATAACCCAGATTGGTTTTCCAAGACTACTGATACTTTTCTTTCATTTTATTCCTAAACATCTACAACATATCTGCTTAGTAATAAAACCAATAGAAGAATCAAATGTGGTGTCATGAATTTAAACTGAATATTCATACCTCTGATGGAATGGAGGGCCAGACTTTAACACAAATAAATAGTCAATGGAGCAGTTTCCCCTGTTGCTAACTGTATCTGGATCATGGCTTTTCCTGTTCATTAGAGTTACTATCCAAATATTGATTATTACCCCTTTTCTCCCTCAGATTGTCATCATTCCAGCCTGTTGTTACACAGAGGACATCCAAGAGCATGTAAGTAATGCATGTTTCTCTTTTCTTATAAAAGTCTTCGTGGATTTTTCTCAGAGAGACTAATTTCTTAGGGTATAAATTGAAATTACATATTTCTACAAGACAATGAAGAGTGAAAGAAAACAAACCAAGAAGAACAATGTTTTACACGGAGCCAATAAAAAGCAGACAGATTAGCTCTAAATCAACTTGCAGTGTGTCGGAGAAGTAAATTTAACTGCTCAGACTCAGAGGGAGAATTCATCTTCGTCTCTGTGGTTTAAGGAAGATTTTGACAAGAAATTTAATAACATGAAAGAATAAGTGTGATACTATACACGGTGGTTTATTTCATGAAAGCAAAGGATGAAAAAGTCACTAGATATAAGTCATTGTTCTCAATTCATTGTTTCTAATTCATTGCATCTATTCATAAAAACAATCCTCACTCAGTCTCCACGGCTTTGGCAGTTGGAAATAAAAATGGAAGGAGAGAAAGAGTTCCCCAGAGCTTTTGACTGAGTGTTTGAGGCCATAAACACTAAAGCAATACATTAAAAAATACTACACCATAAACACAAAACATTCCTATCTACTGAAATTAAAAATAGATTAATTCTAGATTTTCTTATCATAAAATTTCCGATAAGCTCATCAAAACTGCATGTTTACCTTTTCCCTGGTCTTCCTATTTTAGGGGTCTCATAAATATATACCTGTCAGTTTTGCCAATTGTGTAATCTGCACTAGAATTTGTATGCATTCCAGTGGGGTTGAACTCTAGCAGTGGAGAAGATACCAAAAACATCAAACATGTTGGCCCACCAAAAATGTCCTGTGTTGTTTCCAAGCATGCTTTATAATTACAGACTTTATGAAAGAGCTGGACTACTCCTTGGGCTTTTGTGGAATAAAATGTTTCCTAGTGTGAATATGTAGTCCTTCAAGAGGCGTTTTCATGATCTCTGAATTTCTCGGTGCCTAGTGCAGTATCTGACACTCACTGGTGTTCACTGAACACTGCTTGAACAATATCGATGAGTGGAAAGGCTATGGTCTTAGAATTACTAAGACTTGGCTTTAAATTCTTCCTACTTCACTTACTAGCCTGGTGACTTGGAGGAATTTCCTTTTCTTCCTTCTGAGCCTTAAATGTAGACAAAATGAATCAATGACACCAGCTTTGCAGAATCATTCTGAGGATTTGAAATTATATAGGAGCGGGGGAAAACCCAGACAATGATAAATATATAATAAGTTTATGAGTTGAATTGCATCCCCTCAGAATTCATATGTGCAAGTCCTAACCCCAGTGCCTCAGACAGTGAGCTTATTTGGAGACAGAATTTTTTAAATATAATTTATTGTCCAGTTAGCTAACATAGAGTATATTCGGTGTGCTCTTGGCATTGGGTAGATGCCTGTGATTCATCGCTTTCATGCAATACCCAGTGCTCATCCCAACAAATGCCCTCCTCAATAGTCATCAACCATTTTCCCCTCTCCCTCCACCATCAACCCTCAGTTTGTTCTCTATATTTAAGAGTCTCTTATGGTTTCCCTCCCTCTCTGTTTGAAACTATTATTTCCTTTTCCCCCATGGTCTTCTATTAAGTTTCTATTAAGTTTCTACATATGAATGAAAACATATGATATCTGTATTTCTCTGACTGGCTTATTTTACTTAGTATAATACCCTCCAATTCCATCTATATTGTTGCAAATGGCAGGATTTCATTCTTTCTCATTGCCAAGTAGATGAGTGGAAAGGCTATGCCTTTATGCCATTGTATGCATAAACCACATCTTTTTTATCCATTCATCAGTTGATGGACATTTGTGCTCTTTCCATAATTTGGAGACAATTTTTACAGAAGTAATCAACTTAACTTGGGGTCATTGGGAGAAGGGGTACTAATCCAATATGACCGATATTCTCATAAAAATGGGAATTTTGGACACAGAGATTCACATAGATGGGAGGCAATGTGAAGATAAAGGGAGAGAATGGCCATCTACAAGCCAAGAGAGATGCATGGAATAGACCTTCACTCAGGGACCTTAGAAAGAACAAGTCCTGACAACACCTTGATCTCGGACTTCTACAATCCAGAACCATGAGACAATAAATTTCTTTTGTCTAAGCCACCATATCTGTGGTAATTTTTCACAGAAGCCCTAGCATGCTAATACAAGAAGTCACTAACATTAGTTTATTTCCTACATATGGGTGTCCCCTAGAAAAGAGGCAAGAATAAACAAAGCCTCCCTCTAGTGCACCCAGAAATGTGGCCAGTAGAATTCACCATAATCATTACATTTTATGGCCTAGCTCTCCCTATCCCTAGCTAGTGAAGTGGCTCCAGTTTGGGCAAGAAGGACAATAAAGTGAATGCAACTCATTGGTCCTTGTGACTAGGAACAAGCAAAAATTTTACCATAATTTTATCATGATGCAATTAATAACTTACAGTGGTATAGTGGCTCTTTCATGTATTTTAACTTTAACTAAAGTTAAAAATTGAAGGATAGTTTGCATTCTCCTGGATTTGGCTGGCTTGATTGTAAAAATCAGGTGATGAGCCATTCTCTCATCCATTTTATCGAGTTCTAAATTTCTTTTCTGGGTACTTCTTGGTGTAAGGATAAAAATTGCAACCATCTCCAGTGTCTTCCTTGAGTGGAAGTAAGAGATGCACCATCGCTTAAAGATTCTGACCCTACACTAAAATTCCATTTTGTCCACACCAAAAGCACTGAGGATTTAGTATCTCTGAATTCAGAATCTTTGAACGTGACACAAATGTGCATGTACCTAGTACCCTGGCAAAAAAGCAATTCCCTACTAGAAATTAACTAAAAGACGTCTGTTTCCATTATTGTTTGTATTTGCTTCCTTTGGCTGAATACATTTCATTCTCCCCTGGGTTTTACTTCTTTCAATATCTCTTGGCTGTGATCAGTTTGATTTCTGACACATTGGCAGCCTCAGTTCAAGAGATGAATGCAACTAATTTGGTAGATAAAATTCTAATCTTCCCTGTCTTGATTGTCAATTTTTGAACGGTAATCTAAGATGATGTCTTTATCCCATAATTTATGTTGTCTAGATTTGACTAAAGCCAGGTTTGAGGAGTTGATTACATTCTCTCATCTGATCAGCTGAAGGCTAAGACCAATGACACCAGCTCTAATTGTGGGGAAAGAACACACTTCCAAAATCTTTTGTGACAAAACGCCAGCTACAAATTTGTCATTTAAAGTGTTTATGAAGTTGCTAATGAATGAACTTGGCTTTCTTCCTTGAGGTCTGCCTCACTCTGATTTCCTTGGTCCAGCAGAAAGCTCTCTTGGCATATTTATGAAGAACTGGGAAAGATTTTCTTGCACAGAGAATTCCCTTGGCTCCAAAGAAAACTCCATTCCACAAAGTAAACTTGATATCAGCCTAAGCAGGTGCCAGCCGCTGGCATCTGGCACTGAGAAATATATTTATTAAATTATATTTTGGATCAGAAGCCATTGAAAAATGTTTCTACATTTTTAAGTCATTTAAATCACTTGTACATATCTAACAAATATGTATATATGTAAAAATATATGTATACATAAAAATATATTTAAACACACACACACACACACACACACACACACACACACTCCCTTGGAACTCACTAGCCCTTAAATCCTTTAATCTCTTCATCTTGAAAGACTCCATTTACACAAATGAGTTTAAACGTTTTCACTTGAATTCTAGGCAATTTAATGTAAGCCAATGATAAGGTTGCTCATCTTCATGCATTGCTACATACAGAAGCACCCCCAGTGTCTGTGGACACAGCCTCCCCCCACTAGGGCAGGGCAGTGTCTCCCTCACTTTCTCAGCTTTAACCTTTAATGTGATGTGAGAAGCCCCAGCCCTACATATATGATAAATGGAATCTCCGACCCATCTGAAAATGAGTTTATGTGGACAGGAAGATTTAGTATCCCCTGTGCACCCTCAAGATAAAAAATTGTCTGGGCTTGTGGGAACAATTTGTCTAAGAAGAGTAATTTTAGAAATTCTTGCAGTGTCTTTAGAGGGGCTGAATTCATAGTGGTTTTCCCCTTGATTTTATTTCGAGCACCTGTTCTTCATGAACAGGCATAATTCGGAGCCAAAATAATGGGGGCCCACGGATGCACAAAACACACAGAGCTGACTTTTGTCCTTTGTATGGTTTCTCCTCACATATCGAGTGTGAGCCTGTGTGCATATTCAGAACATTTGCTAAAACTGGTTCTCGCATTTTCAAAAGTGCAGTCTCCATTACGAGGCTCTCACAGTGCGATAATTCTAACTGATAAATTACTAAAACAAAAATAGAAAATTGATAGTTGCGATAACTTTCTTTAGTGCACAGCTGGTGTAAGCATCTTGTTCTCACATCTGTGTGTCAGCAGTCTGCCCCCCACCTCACCGCCTCAGGCACTTCCTTTCTTCTCTGAAGTAAATCTCGTTGCCAAAAATCTGTTTGTTTGTTCTGCTCAACAAATGGCACATGTTATTATTAATGAGCCCTCTTCCATTTCTCACAGGAACATTTTCAAACATCTTTTCCTTTTACTTAGCCTGTTGACTGGAGCCTAACTTCATAACTGTATGTATTCTTCAGGTGAGCAGTAGTGAAGAGGACGTTTGTCTCTAGCCTCTGTGGGATTTCACACAATAGCAAACACTACAACACTTAGTCTGGGTGGTCTGGCCAGTCCTAAGGCAATGACAGCAGAGTGTTCGAGAGCATGAAACCTGCAGACAAGCAGATCTGAATTGTCTGTTTGTTATGTGTGTGAATCGAGGAGAGTGAGTCCGTCTCTCTTTGAGCCCAGCACCCTCCTTTACCACAGAGCAGCGGTGACACCTGTCAGAACCAGAATGCAGGCAGGCTATCAATTTAACCTGAGTTGAGGCAACTATCACACCGACCTGGCATGAACCCAGTGGCTTACTTAACTACTATCGAAGTTTGTATCTTCTA